TGGAGTGAGATAAATGGATAGATTCCTACATCGATGTATGGTATCCCACATGGAATGTATTAGCTGTTGATTGTTATACCAGATAGTGAATGCTTCACCCAAGTTTCCATTACCCTTAATGTATTGGAACCATACTGTCATTCCCAACAGATTGACAATCACACCAGACGATGATTGTACCAGACATATAGTCAAACGGTACTGGAACAGACAAGTATATAGTCGTTATCAAACCCGCTGACAAGTTTGGTGAGTTCATCTGTCATTAAATTTAAAATGTCACCAACCAAGATGCCAACTTACTTCGCCTCAATGTTGTGGTGTTTGCCAATTTAGGAAATTGTGTTATAGTGAAGAATATAATCTGACTGACGGATAACATCCCACTATAAGGCCGAGCTCATCGACTTGCTCTAGCAAAGTATGCTGAACTGCATAGTATTATATGAGCCATAAAAAACGAGCACATTTGAGGATCCCTGTAGACTAGTAAAACAAGTATTGAAAACATTAAAACGACATAAATTTGAGGCCTAAAGCTTCCAAATACGAAATTTCTTTCACACTACCTCGGTTACATTGTGCTGGAAATAGATGTTTTAACCAATCCAGACAAAACGAAAGTAATCAAGAACTGGCCTTTACTAAGTGGCATGGCCGGATATTACCAACTGATTGTCAAGAGGTTTTCAAAGATGGCTAAACTGCTGTATAAATTACAGTATCGGTAAACTCGAAAAATGAAAAATAACAGTTTTCAATTGTATACCAGAATGCCTTCAACACATTGTCTTCAACACATTAGTTGAGTGGTTCTCCCATTCATCTGTATTGGCGTATCCTGACTTTGCCTGATACCGAAAGCATAATGGAAAGAACAAAGTCATCGCTGAGGTTTATCTAAGAGCACCTGGATAAACACCTGTATCAAAAGACACAAGAGTGATAAGTAACCAGACCAACAACCATTTCAGCCCAATGGGTTCAGCAGCAGAACCCACTATTTTCGCATGGCTTGTGGCTGGTATAAATACGAAAAGGCACGTGACATTATACGACACGTTTGACACTGTGATATATATATATACGATGCACATTTACCACGTCGGAACATGCAATTATATTCATATGCTGTCAACAATGCCATTAGGTATTGTGCATTGGTTTCTGATACTTGAAACATCCAAAAATGGCTGTAAAACATTTAGGTAATGACACAATTACCCGGTCGCTGTACCTACACACAACCAAACCATTATAATGATTGCGAAAATGTTAATGTACACATAAATGACTGTATACGAGTTCCTAAGAAGATACAATCTGACCGTTCTGACCGATACTGATCTGAAATCCAGGATCAGTGCATATTACACAAATACACAGGGCATTGCCGAAAAATTCAACCAGTTGTTGATAAACATGTTAGTCACCTTGATACTAAATAACAAGTCAAACTGGAGTTAAGTAGTTAAAACCATGGCACATGCATATATAACATAACGTGAACGGGTATGTACAGCAATAGCTTAATTGTATGCTACTTATAAAATCACCGGGAAAAGATGAGCTGATAGTGCGTAAAAACAAGATACATTATGACAAAAAAAGCCAGTGAGTGATTTGAGACTGAATCTTGATCAGAAATGTGAACATCAAAGGTAAATATAAATTGGCCACAGAAGTGTATAGAAATGAAAACAATCCATACTGATACTCCCAGTTTGGAACTAAATGCACCATCCATATTAATCTGCCCACATCGATTGATGCTTTACTACCATATGAACGTTCATTCAGACCACCGATCGGAGATCCAACTCCAAGACAAAGAGATGCCAACCAGGGCTGCTCAATGCGTGACTTTTTCCTGCGCAGAATTTATGTCTGAATCTGACTCGAATATTTCAATTAAAGGAGTCCAAGTACAACACCACCGGTTATTCATATTATGAGACAAGTATTCAAGTATCAAGGAGTATGAATAATATGACACATGTCCCTTGATTTGACCGGTTTCCAACTGACACATGACACAAAAGTCATCAGTGGGTTAATCCAATAATGTGTCAACATCTTCAGCAACAGAAACTTTGGATGATGAAACTGATCATGAAATCGATGCAATTCATATTGACACTGTTGAACCTTATGTGTTGCATTTTACAGATTCATGTAGCCTCAACGAGAAACTGGGTTATAACTGATGGGCAATGTTTATTTCCAATAATGATGCTGAAAACCAGCAATGCAGAATGTTACAGAAAGTGACACACACACAGAATATGACATAACAGAGATCTCAACACCCACAGTATGGTGTTACCTGCTTTAAAATATAACAGATTATCATATGAGAGGACACTGTTAAATTCTGGATGTACGAGCTTAATCATTTGCTCCGAAGCATAAACAGCCGACAGGAATTGTACATACAACCACCAGTTAAACCTTGAGCTTCACCAACATAAGCGTTTCCTTTTTTTAGAGTAAATTGTTGGATTTGCCTGACAAATAATCTAGATGTATCTACATCATGTCTATTCTCTACCATGTGTGACACTATTCACTTGCGCATGTTCCAGACAATTGGAAAATCCCACTTCCACTGGAGCAATATTTCTTTCTACAGGGGATGATTGTTGTAGGACAAGACACGATTAGCAAAACGTCATTGAGGGTACTCTGGTGCTAGATGTTACCGTTATAAATTCAGAATGGTACCTTGGACTCCCTAATTTGTGGGATGGCTGGCCATCGATTATGCTAGTATATACGAAGCTTAACAAGTCACGATTTTCAAATACTCATCAGAAAATTGCATTGTGGAAGAGTTATACCATTTACCGTTATTTGTCTGTATTAATGTCACATGATTGCCACTAAGGTATTTTAAATCATAAGTACCACCAGGTCAAAATGGGTCTAGGAATTACCTAGTTTGTTGATCGAGATATAGTTTTCTAAATATATATTGAGCCATGTGTTTATGAATATTAATGAGGTTATATGAACGTATATATTGCTCATATACAAGTCTGTGACAGTGTTTCAGATATGACAGTTATGCATATTAATTAGTTCTCTTGTCAAATGCTTCCATAATTGCACATATTGCATCTCCCTAATGCTTGAGATATTACAGTTATACATATTGATGGTGTCAGGCGACCCCTTCTTCTTGAGTCACGTTGGACGCAATGAGCCAAAAGGTTGCATGTACATGTAGTATTGCGCAATTAGTGTTAGATTCTCTACTAGTTCAAACTAAAATTGACAGT